GCAAATGCCCGGTGGGCCGCGATGGCCGTGGGCCGAGGCCGGCAGGGGAGATCACAGGATCTCCCCGGCCGGCCCCTGCAGGGCCGGCGCTATCCGAGCGCCGGCCCTGCTGTGTGCCTCCATGGGCCGGTGGGGAGATCAAAGATCTCCCTCACCGGCCCACAAACAGGGAGATGCGGCCGCCAGCTGGTGAGGGAGGCAGGAGAGAGGACCGGCGGAGCTCTAACAAGCAGCTCCGCCGGGTCCTCTCGAGGGATTCTGAGCGTTGCCGCGGCAATGCTCAGATCTCGCGAGAGTGAACTCTAACCCGCAGGTTAGAGTTCACTCTCACCACTGGACCACCAGGGAAGCATAACAGCATGGCTCCACCCCACCCACCAGGCAGAACGGATCTCCTCCCCCCCCCCACGATAAAGGTAAGGAGGGGGGGGACATAACTTTTTTTTTTAATTAATAAATAAAATAAAAAATATTTAAAATAAATTCCCTAACAGCCCCCTCACACCCACAGCACCCAGACACCCACAGCACCCCCAGACACCCACAGCACCCAGACACACACAGCACCCCCCAGACACCCACAGCACCCAGACACCCACAGCACCCCCAGACACCCACAGCACCCAGACACACACAGCACCCCAGACACACACAGCACCCCCAGACACACACAGCACAGACACACACAACACCCCCAGACACACACAGCACCCCCAGACACACACAGCACCTCCAGACACACACAGCACCCAGACACACACAGCACCCCCAGACACACACAGCACCCAGACACACACAGCACCCCCAGACACACACACAGCACCCCCAGACACACACAACACCCTCAGACGCAGACAACACCCTCAGACAGACAGCACCCTCAGACAGACAGCACCCTCACTCCCACACATATACAGCACACACATATATATATATATATATATATATATTATATAAAATAACCCTCAGTGAGTTAACAGACAAAGAAAATTAGAAACCTAGAATGTGACAGCAGATTAAAAACACCCTCACACACAGCACCCCTCTTACACAAACATACTGCGCACCTCACACATTCAATACGTCCAAATATATTCTAAATATATATACACACACTCACTACTGCACCCCACCCACTGCACCACTACACATATTACACTCCAGATACACGCTAGATCCCTTACCCTATATGCACTCTTAATCCTCTACACATACACACACACACAATCTTCTATACACACTCTGGGTCCTTTACACACACGCTGCACCACCTACACACACACTACATTCCTTGTAAGCAAACACATACAACATTCTCTAAACACACCCTCTCTACAACCCCTACACACACTACGTAACCTATACACACACACTACTGCCTGTATGTACACACTCGCTACATCCCCTATAACACTATGCCCCTATACACGCACTCTCTACAGCCCCTAGCCACACATATTACACCACAAAATTGACCTATTTACACAATACCACACCACACTCTACACACACAGGCAATCCCACAAGCATGCGCCAAACACATGCCCCATACACTTTCCTTGCCCTTTTATCCTCTGGTATCCCACTTGTGGAGACACCAGAGACAATTTAAAAGCAAACAAAGCGCAATCATGTTATTACATTTGCTTGCGCTGCGCAGAACAAATACAGGGCCTTTTTCTAATGCTAGAGCTCTTCAGCGGGGCTCTGCGCATTGAACCAACATGCTCACTTTCAGAAGGGGCGTACTTGTCATTAGTGATGACAAAACACACCCTCTCTGGCCCCGCCCCCTTCTTGGGGGGCCGCTCTAATTGAAAAATGCCCGGGCCTAATTTTTTTCCCAGTCCGGCCCTGGGGATGTGCATTGGCAAAAAATTTGGTTCGGTGCGGTTCGGTTCGGTTTGGAAATTTTCAGGTAAGTAAAAAAATTTGTCTGCTTTGGAAATTCGGACCAATGGCATTCAGTTCGGAACTGGCGAACATAGTCACTTTGGAACTTCGACACTTCAGCACTTCGGACATTCGTAGCATCCGAATGTCCGAATGGCATGAAATTCGTACGAATGTACATTCAGAACGAAACAAATTGCACATGTCTACTTTATATATCCAATACAATAATCGGATAAGGATGTTTGTCTGATGCAGTCATGCGCAGTAGAGACTGCGCGAGACTGCATAGGAAAAACATCCCATGCCAGGCAGCGAGGGAACAAAGTACTTACTGTGCTCTTGCAGCACAGCTCCCTCGCACGTCCTTCAGGGTACGCTGGCAGCCGCGATGTGATGCGTACAGGATATGACGTCATTGCACAAAAGGAATTAGCTTATTGGTCAAGATTCCTGTCATCATTCACTTAATTTTTTCTCCCTCTCTCTTGTTTTGCCACTTTTCAGAAATCCGAATCACTTTGGCACTTCGGAGCTTAGCACTTCCGAACTACCGAACTTCGTCATTTCGGAACTTCGGCACTTTGCAAATACGTAAGCATCCAAATGTATGAATGGCATGAAATTCGTGCAAATGTACATTCGAAACAAATCTCACATGTCTATTATATGTATAAGATATATATACATATTATATATAGATATAATATATGTATATATATCTTATATATATATATAATTAACATACATATATATATATATTTTTTTTTTTTTTATTAACATTTTTATTTAATTTTAACAGAAGCAGGGAGACTGCAGGTAGCACTATGAACGCCTATTACAGCCATGTGATCGCTCTTTGAGAGAGATTCTCACAAAATTCTCAATTCTCAATTCTCTTTGCCTCTGCTTCTTTGGTGTATCTGCTCAGTCTGGTTGCCAGTGCTGCCAGTCTTTGCTTCCAGCGCCTCCAGTATGTGCATATCCTTGTACTTTTGCAGCAGCCAGGATCTATCTTTAATCTTTCCACCTCTGTTAAGTTGATCCATATACTACAGCACACCTTACACACACTGCACCCCTAAACACAGTACATTTCAGACACACGCTAGATCCCTTACCCAACTCTGGATCATCTACACACATGCACACACTAGATCCCTATATACACTCTGAATCCGCTATATACACACACTCACTAGATCTCCTATACACATTCTGGGTCCTTCAAACACACACTAGACTCCTACACACACACACACACACACACTACATTCCTAACATACACACTCTGGATCCCCTATACACACACTAGATTCCATGTAAGCAAACACATACTATGCCCCTAGACACACACTCTCTACAACCCCTACAAACACTACATCACCTATACACACCCAACACACACAAACTATAGCCCATATGCATACATTTGCTACATCCCCTATACACACATTCTCTATAGCCCCTAGACACATATGCATTAAATTACACCACAAACACAACACAACTAAAACTGACCTTATTACCCAATACCACACCACAATCAGCTCACCCTACACACATGCAATCCAACAAGCAGGCTCCAAACACATGCACAACACTCTTTCCTGGCCCTTTTGTCTCCAGGTATACCATTTATAGAGACACCAGAGACAATATGCAAGGAAACTTCGCTTGCACTGTGCACTAAATTAGCTTGCATTGTGCAGAACAAATACAGGATTGTTTTCTCATGCTAGGGCTCTTCAGCAGAGCTCTGCACATGGTCTGCCCTGGAAGAGCATTGAACCAACATGCTCACTTTGATAGGGGGCGTGTTTGTCATTGGTGATGACAAAATACACCCTCTCTGCCCCGCCCCCTTCTCAGGGGGCCGCTGTGATATAAAAATGCCCAGGCCAAATTATTTCCCCAGTCCAGCCCTTGTCTAGGCATTAGAACAATTTCCTCCCATTGAAGTGGTTATAGAGCCTGTAGTCCACTGGCACTGGCCCTCCATTCAGTGTTAAACTACTTTTGAATGGTCCACTGTTGCTGGTTATTTCCAGGTATACAAGATCTGTGAGGTTCGAGTGCAAAAAAAAGTACATTTGTACTTGCCCCCATCCCAAGGCCAAAGTTGTCAACCCTCCAAATCAAAATAAATAATATATTTTTATTTAATGTTTAAACTGGATTCCATAACATGGCAAGTAAGAGTGCATGTTGCCAGTCATTTAGCTCTTCATTGTTGTGGGATATTATAATATACATTATAATATAATATACATTTCCTCAAATGCCTGAGTGCTTTGCTCATATGTACGCAGAATCTGTGATTGAGTTACCTGTTGGATTGCTTGGAAAAGCCAGGATATCCCTTATATATACCTATCCAGAGGGGGTGATCACATAAACAGACCCATACGTCTCTACATCCAGAGCTCGCTTTTATAGCTCTGAAATATGTGAGTGTTCCATTTTAGATACTTTTATATTACACTGTATAAAGGTTTTACACTTTTTTTTGTATATTTATTTTATCTTAAAAGTGCACATAATAGATTATAGAGAAATGTAAGTATAATATTCTCTAGAGGTGATATCGCTTTCTATTTATTGCACTCATCTTAAGGATAGCGCTGCACTGTGTATTTTTTTGTATGTGTTTTTTTTGTGTGAATTTCAGGTAACAGTGTGCTAATATCTAATTACTTTTAATGTATTCATTGAATTATCATTCATTGAGTTTTCCGTGTTTTGCGCTTTTACACCTAAATTATTATATTTTAAACTTATTTTTCACCTATTTCATTAAGAAGTTGCTCCCATAAAACATATTTACTTAAGATTAGTAATTTTTTTTTTTAATAGTTTTACTTCAAAGGTTATGTTTAAATACCAGATAAATAAAACTACATCGATATGAACTTATATAAATATGTAGTTACGGATTACTGAGAACCTGCGTTTGCTCCAGCTCTCAAAACATTCTAATGAAAAAAAAAGCTTAAAACTTGTAAATGGATAATGATTAACTAAACGTTTGAAAAACCGTCAGTTAGCACTTAAAGGACACAACTTGCTAGCAGCACAGGAATAGCTGAAGACATCCAAGCAATAAATCACATAATTATTTATTTTTTAATAAATCCTAGCATCCCAGTGATTTAATGTTCTTTACTATATTTAGCTCTAATATTAACCCAGTGCGTAAGTAGTACAGAAGATAATTGGATAATTATTAGAGGAGTAAAAAGCCCATTGCTTAACTTACATAGCACTCTTTTAATAAGAGGCTTTGCACATTTACAATTTCAACTTATATTTTACAAATCCCCATTTAAAAAAACAAGGTGGAAATTTTTGGGGGATGAGCTGCACATTTCCGTACAGCCAATGGGCCAATGACATTGCAGGCACAGGGTTTTCCTGGCACTATATGAATCAGCTCTTTCAGTGGAACAGATGCAAGAGACACACGGTTTGCACGTGTCTAAAGTTTATTTGAGCAGCCAAAACTGCAGAAGAAGAACATGACTGATGTAGACAATGCCAAATCGGACAGCAGGAGAAGCAGCAAGTATACCAATCTAGCTATGAAGGGGAGCAGAAGTTTTAAGGACAAAATAGCACTGAAGAACAATTTGGCAAAAGAGACTCTTTCTGAATTCTTCGCCACATGTTTGTTGATAGTAAGTGTCAGATGTTTTCCTGTTTCCTTGTGTGTGACTGTGCTGACTCTTACATTTTTATGGATTAATATGCACGGCTGACATAATGTTTCCTTATGCTTTATAGAAGTGCTTTATACAGGAGGAATATATGTGTTTGTTTTGTAACTATCTGTATTTTCAAAAGGGGCTGATAAACAGTTTTGGCGAGAATTTCTAAAAACAAGAACTCCTGCTTTTTAGAGGGGGACGGGACAGGAAGATTTGGGGGGAAATTGTGAAAATATTTGGGGCTCATTCACTAAGCAATTCATAGATAAGGGGGCAGCACATTTAGGACAATATTCACAGACTGAGCAATATCAGCTATTTTAACTTAATTTTGCAATTCTCCTGCCAGTAATACAGAATTCCTAGTATATTGAATAAATCCCTTTGTGACGGAGCTCCTGTACTCTGACTGAGTACCTCTCCTCTTCCTCTCTGCTACAAGAGACTCCGAAGCACTTTTGACTTAGTCGCCGAAGCTGGATTGGGGTCTCTGATGACCGCTTCCATTGGACAAGGCTTCAGTGTTTATAGCTCTGGAGACCTTCTCTTCTATAAAGCAGTGACTATAGCTTTTCCCCCACACATTAGTCGAGACTGAATGAAGGGGGTAAAATGATCTTTATGGCACAGCACCCAGCTTTTCATTCACAGCAATGTTGACTCTCCCTACAGGGGGTCATGCATACAATGCAATGTACAGTACAATTGTCCCTCCCTAGCGCCACTCTGTCTGGGGACATATTTACATAATCCCTAGTTAACACAATCCGCTCCAGGTTATGCCCACGCAATCTTAGAGGCACAGGACTCAAAATGTCCACAGAAACCCCATACCTGGAAAGTGCACCTCCTAGTGCACTCGCTGTCCAAATAGGGCCCTGATCAGAGAATCTGCACCCAAGTTATAGCATTTTAAAGTTTTAGTGGGTCGAAGCAAATCCAGCTAAAAGTTCCAGGCATGCAGTGGCTTAGTCCCAGTCTCCAAAATGGGTTCCTGTACCTCTGGTGAAGAGAGCGCTCTCAAGCCTCAGGTAGCATCCAAATTCTCCTTGTCTCCCTGACCTCTATTTGGAGGTGGGGAGACTGAGCGATACCTGCTTAAAGATTGACCGAACCTCTGCACATTCTTGATCCGAGGAACAGTTCTAAAGTGTTTCACAGTATTTCCAGTCAGACATCTGGTGTGTAAAATGAGTCTCCCCAGAAATTCTTACATCTATCTGGGAAGCACAGTAAGCATTCCGGGGCTCCCATGCCCTACCTAACAGCGATAAAAGCCCCTTTTAGGGGCTCTTGGGACCAAGACCATAGTCCATAGCCAGGAGGCTGGCCTTTAAGCCTATCCAAAAGTATGTGGCACGGGAGCTTGCATCACACCTTTCTACTTTACAGATTTTCCTGATTAGCGAAGCCTTAACCTATATGTATATCAGCAATATTTACTAAACTCTGAATTGTTTGGCGAAATAAAGATTAAAATAGCCAAATTGTGACTATAGCTGCAATGAATATTTTTTCCAGATCAGCTGTTTTTGCCTACATTTTGCCATTCAGATTTCAATTTGCTACAATTCGATTTTAGTGAAAAACCTCTGTTTGCAAACAACACGCAGCAACACATTCAGATACATGAGTAAATGTTACTTTACTTCCCTGTTACACATTTTATCCTGCATGAAGCCCTGAATTTTAGAAAGAGCAAATAATGGAAACTTTGGGAAAAAAATAGGAAAAAATAAAATTAGATCTCAGTATAACCCATTTAAAGGACACTAGGAAGTATAAGGCACTGAGTGGATTTTGCCAAATTGGAAACTTGCAACTTCTGACCACAGCTGAGAATCTAGCCCCTAAGTAACCTCACCAGGTCTACGCTGAGTACCTGGTTCTTTTAACCAATCGTATTACAGTTAAAATTCGGCTTATTATTAGAGACCGCAGAAACACAGATCAGAATAAAGCAAAAACAGACCTATATCTATTATAATAATGCATACATTCTGGAGAAATATATTGTAAAAACAAACAATTTTTTTATAATTGTACATGTATATTTGAATATCTTCTGCTGTGCCCTTTCATTTAAAATGAAATAAAAGGGACTTTTAACTCATTCAGTGCCATAGAATTAACAGTTGAAATACAACAAAAAAGTGTATCTTGTTTATTTACAAAAATGCCAAAACGCTACCAGGAACATAGATCGATAGATAGATAGATAGATAGGTAGGTAGACAGACAGATTGACAGGTGAGGAACCAGGCAGTAGAGCTCATCTTTGCCTGCCTCCCCCTGCCACCGGACCCCCCAACAGCAATATCATCAGTGCTACTTTATCTAAAATGTTCCGTGGAGAGATTTTTCTGCATATTTGTTTGGCAGATCGATTGAGCCATGTTGTATGTTGTCTTTCTGAATTCTTCGCCACATGTTTGTTGATATATAAGTTGTTGCATATCTGATGGTTTGTTTTTTAGTTCTTTAAAATGTTATGTAATACTATATTCTACCGTATTCACTTCATGTTTGTTTCAATTGCAAATCCACATTAGAGGAAGTGGTTACATGAATTGCACATTAGTTTATATTTGGAAGCATGTAGACATGCTGATACCTCACAGTTCTTTCTGTCAGATGACTGATCTGTCCATGTTTAAGAATCTCTAAGCTTCTATCACTATGTAAAGTGTCTTGCCGTAGCTTGAATTAACTGGAACCTCTCCAGTCAGTGACCTTTACAATATCAGTTAGACCTCATTTCAGAGCTTGTGACTGTATAGCTGAATGGGAAGCATTTATCTTTTCAACATTTAAAAGAAAAACAAAACACAAAAACATAAAACTAGGTCTGGCCGTTGAAATATCATTTTCATGAATGTGTCCTGCTTTAGTCTGCTGATAACTTTGTGTATGTATTTTCCTAGGGGTCCAGATCTACATATGTTCACTAGACTTCACTTAAAGGAACACTATAGTGTAAGGAATATAAGCATGTGTTCCTGACACTATAATTGAAAAAGCACTGCTTAGGCCTCGGCCCCTCCTTAATTTTAAAAGGTGATTTTACTTACCTTTTTTCCAGCGTCGTGCCTGGCTCACAGCATCTGTCACTGTCACGCTCTGCCTCCACGGCTGAGATCATTTTTCACAATCTCAGCAAATGCTTTCCAGTAGGGAGGCTATTGCACGTTCACATTGAATAAATGCATCTCTATGAGGAGACTGCAGCACTGACCCAAGAAATATGTCTACTGGCCTTCTGAATGACTACCACTAGAGGCCTAAGACAGTAATGTAAACAAGCCTTTTCTATGAAAAGGTAGTGTTTACATTAAAAATCCTGTGGGTACACTAAGCTGTAGTTGTTCTGGTGACTATAGTGTTCCTTTAATACCCTCTCTAATATGTACCAAGTTGAAAGCAATATTATATTTTGATATCAAAACAACTTTAGCTTCAAGGGCTACTATACTGTCAGAAACACAAACACGTAGCGTGGAGACACTGAACGTCGGTGCTGCACAGTGTGCAGGACTGACCAAAGAAGCACCTCTAGTAGCTATCTGAGGAGTGGCCACTAGAGGTGTTCCTAGGCTGAAAAAGCCTGCAGGGACTGACTATACTCATCAGAACAACTTTATTAAGCTGTAGTTGTTCTGTTGACTGTAGTGTCCTTTAATGAGTTAATGAGGCAGTTTTAGTGTGATAATACATCTGTATCACTGCTCAATTCTATGCCATTTAGAAGTTAAATTACTTTAATTTCTGTTTATATAGCCCAGTCACACCTCCCCTGGCTATGACTCACACATTCTGCATGAAAAAAATATTTTCATTTTCAATCAAATCTTAGATAAAAATAAATTTTTATCCCCTGCCCTGTAAATTTAACTTTAATCACAGCATTCTGGTCTGTCTTCGTGTTGCACAAAGAAATGCCATGAACTACAGTTGAAATTCAAGGAAATCCCTGATCATTACGGAATCAATGTTTAGAATCTTTTCCTGTTATATTTTACTTTGAAAAGCAGAAAATAAAAACTACCATGGTAGGTGCAAGTGACAGTGACGTATTTGCCTTGGGCGGAACTTTCCAGGGGGCGGCAAAAAAATACCGCCCCCAAATGCCCAGGCAAATACCTTGTTAGCCTAGTGGCAGGCGGGTAGCTGAGTTCCAAGTCGGGCAGCGAGGGAGAGTTGATTTGTGAGCTCTCCCTGCTCAGCTCCCTAGCGAGCAGCAGAGTGATGTTGGGAGCCGGAATATGGTGTCATAGGGAGCTGAGCAGAGAGAGCTCACAAATTAGCGCTCCCTCGCCGCCTGCTTTGGAATTCAGCTAGCCGCTCAACTGCCTGCACGCCTGCCTCCCTGTCAGCCTAAGCAGCCTGGACCCCAGGTCAAAAATTCATCCAGCTCTCCCAAAGGTAGGGAGGCTGGGTGGATGTAAATTAAAATAAAAAAATAATTGTGTGTTGGGGGGGAGGGGGGGGAGAATGTGTGTGTGTGTCTGTGTCTGTGTCTGGCTGGCAGTGTGTGTGTGTGTGTCTGGCTGGCTGTCAGTGTGTGTGTATGTCTGTCAGTGTGTCTGTATACCTGTCAGTGTGTCTGTATGTCTGTCAGTGTGTGTATGTCTGTCAGTGTGTGTCTGAGTGATTGTGTGTGTCTGTGAGTGAGTGTTTGTGTCTGTGAGTGAGTGAGAGTGAGTATCTCTGTCAGTGTGGGTCTGAGTGATTGTGTGAGTCTGTAAGGGTGCCTGTGTGTGTGTGTATGTCTGTCTGTAAGTGTATCTGTGAGTGTGTGTGTCTATGAGGGAGCCTGTGTGTCTGAGTGATTGTGTGTGTATGCCTGTCAGCGTGTGTGTCTGTGAGTGTTTGGCAGTGAGTGAGTGTGTGTGTCTGTGTCAGTGATTGTGTTTGTCTGTCAGTGTGTGTCTGTCAGTGAGTCAGTGATTGTGTGTGTCTGTCAGATTGTGTCAAATCAGTGTATCTGAGAGTGTGTGTCTATCAAAGTGTGTGTGTTAGTCTTTAACAGGAAGGGGTGTGGCAAATGTAAATTAGGGGTGCCCGAGTTCCGTCATGCCTAGAGCAGCATAGATCCAAAATACACCACTGGCAAGTGGTAAAAATATAAAAAATATTTAGATCTTTTGGGGGTTCATTGATCACTCTTTTGTTGCCCTCAATGAACTCAGAGAATGATCAATAATCAGTCCTAGGACAATGGATCATGCTTGCAAGCAGTGTAATTTTTTTCAGCATTCAAACTAAGAGAACTTTGTAGAAAAACTTTTTTTGAAAAAAAATGTTCTCTCTCAATTTAACTCAATTTCTGATTTAATCGCTTCAACTCAAAACAAAGTAAAGAGAACTAGAGCATTGGGATGCTGTCATACTAATACTAAGTTTTTAATAGCCTAAGGGAGTGCATCATTTAAACAAAGGTATAATTAAATACAATATTTCAGAAACCACATCACGATAAACACCTTTCTTGAAAGTGATCATTAAGACATGAACTATTATTAATGGACAACTAAATCAAAATATTGGGGCTATTACAGCGAATTATGAAAAATTCCCAACTGGTCTATTTTGGCCATTAGACAGCAAAACATAATCATGTGCATAAACACATTATAAAACATTTTCACTGTACAAGTGATACTAATAAAATATCACATTTGGTAATATTTATTATGTTCTAATATAGAGGCTATAAGAATAAAACATTTATATAAATAACACATTTCATTAAAAAAAAGTTAGTTTTTGAGAGAAGCGACATGCGCCAACACATATTTTAAATTCTCCGAGAATTTATATATAAATAGAATACAGAGGAACAATGAAATATTTAAACCTGCCAGTTATGGTTTTTGCACACTGTACAATATGAATAATAATAATAGAATATTTAAGACTTCTGCACAACCTACCACTACGACTGGGCATGAGGCAAATCTTTTATTTTTACAGTATCTATTTGGTGGAAATGACCCCCACACATAGAATATAAAATGTGTCAGTTAGGGTACAGTCAGTTTATGTTCATCTTTTTTTTTTTTTTTTTTTGAAGGCTGTCCTTTCTGTTTTTCCTCTAAAGTGCTAGTGTTTCCAATTTGCTCCAGTAAAACAACTATCTCTATGTGATGTGTTATGGCGGCTCGATAGCTCTACAAAGCTGATGTTTGTACTGCAGCCCCAAGATAACACCTCCTGTGCACATAAAATAATGCTATGCAAGGATTACTCAGCACTGTTATAGAAAAAGAAAAGAGTATCATGAATAGATGACTTTCTGGTCTGAGCAGAGTTCACTGCAGATGTTTCAAAGCCTGAGGAATTGCAGCAATGGGACCTCAAATGTAGGCATATTTTTATTTTGCTCAATTTTTCATTTATAGTTTTTGCTTACATGTTTTCATTTTTTTCTATTTTTTATTTTTACTTATGCTACTTACACGACCTATTACCTATACATTACAAGCTATAGAATTTCTTAAAACGTATATCAACATTTACTAATAATAGAAAACTTGTGGCCATGCATGGAAGAGCATACAGGTGATGTTTGAAAAATTTGAATATCGTGCAAAAGTTCATTTATTTCAGTAATGCAATGTAAAAGGGGAAACTAATATATGAGATAGACGCATTCCATGCAAAGCAAGATAGTTCAAGCCGTGATTTGTCATAAGTGCGATGATTATGGCTTACAGCTCATGAAAACTCCAAATCCTCAATCTCAGTAAATTAGAATATTACATGCAATCAATAAAACAAGAAGTGTACATAGAACAATATCGGACCTCTGAAAAGTATAAGCATGCATATGGACTCAGTACTTGGTTTGGGCCCCTTTTGCAGTAATTACTGCCTCAATGCGGCGTGGCATGGAAGCTATCCGCCTGTGGCACTGCTGAGTTGTTATGGAAGACCAGGATGCTTCAATAGCGGCCTTCAGCTCTTCTGCATTGTTCGGTCTCATGAATCGGGATCTCAGAAAGCCTGCTTTCAAAAAATATTTTATTTTAATTAACAATTCCTTGTTCAGAGCTTTGACCAAAAATAAATAATGCAAATGTAATAAAATGGTGGTTGTTGGAAAGAGAAGATTTCCCAGTACTTTAAATGTATCTTGTAAAATAAGATTAGTAATGAGGTCTGTAGGAACATAGTAAGGTGTTGGAACAATGGTTGGGATTAGGAAATAATGAGGACACAATCAGGTCAGATTAGTTGGAATAAGATAAGTGGTGTGAAAGAGATCACTAACATAACTAAGTTATGATCACTAACATTACTCAACTATGTACAATGGAGGTTCAAAGAGGGCATTTGTAAATATTATTTTAAACGACCACTATAGTGCCAGGAAAACAAACTCATTTTCCTGGCACTATAGTATTAATAGATCCCCTCCACCCTCATGGCCCCCTCCCGCCGGGCTCTAGGGGGAGGAAGGGGTTAAAATCTTACCTTTCTCCAGTGCTGGGCTCCCTCTGCGCTGGGGACTCTCCTCCTCCGTTCGACGTCACCCGCAGAAAGCGCATGCGCGGCAAGAGCCGAGAGCGCATTCAGTCAGTCCATAGGAAAGCATTCTCAATGAAAAATCACAGTGAGACGCGCGGAAGCGCATCTAGCAGCTGTCAATGAGACAGCCACTAGAGGCTGGCTTAACTCATATGTAAACATAGCAGTTTCTGTGAAACTGCTTTGTTTACAGCAGGCAAGGTTAACCCTAGATGGACCTGGCACCCAGACCACTTCATTGAGCTGAAGTGGTTTGGGTGCCTATAGTGGTCCTTTAATCAAGTATTATACAGTAGCTTCAAATGAGGATTTAAATTGCCTTAGAGTTGTTGTTTATGAGAGTGCATCACCCTCAGCCAGTTAGGGGGTGGCTAAGGGTGAGGATAGATTGTGCTGTTACAAACTCTGGTCTGTTCCAATGTTCCTGTATTATTGATGCTTAGGTTCCACTTGACCACTTACGTCTTCCGAAGAAGAGCTGTACACAGCTAGAGAAACTTGAGTTAGCTACAAAGGTCATTCAGCAATACGATAACATTTTTATAACTTTAGTTGGAGAGGAAGATGGATTTCTCTTCTTCAGATTACTTTGCCAAATCTATGTTCTGCTTTTAAACGTTCTCAGAAAATTAACAACATACTGTTTATATTTCTGACATTTTTGCAAAATTAGCAAATTCTTAAAAAAACAACATATAGTGTTCTTAGAATCACAGTTGACAGTCTGGCTAAACAACCAAGAGAATATAGTAAACACAAAACCATTTTTATTTACTTATTATTCATGCACATTATTGGCTCATCTTTAATAGATCAGTCCAAGCCAACAACACAAAAAATTGGAATATATAAAGACTTGCCTAATGTTTTGTCTGTTTGTTGGTTTTCTTTTTACTGTGAAGTTCACTATATAATACATTCAATAGAAAGGAACACTAGGAAATTGAAGACAAATACATGCAGTACTAACAAAACTGAGATTTAAGTGGTATCATTTTCTTGCAAAAGTTGGAACAGCAAATGATTATAAAATAATCTTTTCTGGAGGCTCGCCATTGCTATTTAAGGATGGCATTCAAACCATATCAGCCAAGAGTTCTGTTCTTTTACTAACAAATGGATCTCAACCTAACACGGCTTTGCCTACACTACACCTGCAGACTTACAGTGTTATTTACTCAAGTGAGAACTGTCCGGAATTCAATTCAGATTGAATTTAAAAATTTAGACCAGAATAGCAAATTAGAAAATTTCACCAAGTCAGTTTTGGTTTCAATTTGGATATCTTAAGAGTGGGAAGAATGAGGATAATGGCAGAAAGTGGAGAATTATTTGGAATATTGTGTCTGGAGATTGGAGTATGAGGGATATTGGAAAAGAGAGAAAGGGGTGGAGAGTTAATTTTAATGAATGGGAGCCTTGAAGATGAAACTATGAAGTCATAAGAAGCACAGCTTTGCCTATTATGCCATTAACCTAAAGACGAATTCTGGAACACACAGATGCTCTGTATTAGTGTAGGTAGTTTTGCTACATTTTCTTTGACAAGACACTGACTACACTAACAGTTTTTTATAAACTGTGAGGTATCTGCTCGGACGGCACACACAAGCAGAGCAGAGATTTAGATAAAGGTAATTTTAATAGCTTTTTCTTGGCCGTGATACAGAGATCACAGAGACAGTTTTAAGAAGCCTGACAGCTATATTGATCTGATTTTTTTTATGACATAATTTAAAGCTGTGGTAAATAGGTAAATAGCGTAATCATTTTTTATGAATGATAGTGTCTTATAAATAGCTTGATTGGCATCAAAGAAGGAATTTACGTGCACAGTATATATGTCGACACATACGTATGACTTGTGCTGGAGATATATGGCATTATTGCACAATGAGGAATATTACTGCTTTGAACAAGACATACGGAATAAACAGTATAAGCAGAATAGCTCACATGGTAAAGAAAATAGCTGTTTTACACAAGATATATGATGGACATAAATGAAGTGATGGGTGCTCTGTTATCATGTAAAATAGATGGAGCACTGTAACATCTGGTTAGATCAGGGATGCCCAAAAGGTAGACCCCCTAGATGTTTCAAAACTGCATCTCCCATGATGCTTTGTCATTCTAAAAGCATTCTAAATGCATGCAATACCTGGGGATCTAACTATTGGACGCCCCTAGATTAGAGTCAGTGGATGAATTTTCCCGTTCAGAACCTTCCATCACACTTGGCACCTGTTCCCAGTCACATTATTTCTTTTTTTTTTTTTTAAATAAGATTTATTAGGGAAGAAAGAAGATTACAAAAACAATCACAATGAAAGTGCATATAGGTACAAACATCAGTTGTGAAGCAGTAAACAAAGAACACATGTTGAAGGATCAGAAAAGACCTACAGTGTAGTTAAATATTCAGACACAAAAGACATGTGGGGAAATCCCCTCGTAGGCAACGGGGGGAATACACCTCATAATCACTATCCCTAATAGTAAATAAATGTAAAGGCTTACAAAAAAAATTATGAACTTTATTGAAAAAACTAAAATAAAATCCAAAAAGCACACGACACCCTAAAAATTAGGGAATTAAAACAATGGCACTAGATACTGAAAATCCCTATTCCCTATTTTTAGGGTGTCGTGTGCTTTTTGGATTTTATTTTTGTTTTTTCAATAAAGTTCTTTTTTTTTTGTAAGCTTTTACATTTATTTACTATTAGGGATAGTGGTTGTGAGGTGTATTCCCCCGTTGCCTATGAGGGGATTTCCCCACATTTTTTTTGTACTCTTTATATTCTAAGGTTAAGCCCTTTACTATCCCTGTAATCCCCTTTTGTTCTCCCTGTCAGAGTTCTTCTCTGGCTGGAAGTATTTTGTAAATATTCAGACACGATCATATGACTATGCACAATTCAATTTTACCTGTACATTGAAACCAGTGCTCACAAGAAGCACTCAGCACGTGAGGCAGGAAACCCTCACAGCAGTCTGCTAACACCCGGGAGCTTTTACTAACTGAATTTATAAGTGCCAATTTCGCTTTAAGTTGTCTCTTTATAAAATAAGCCTGTCTGGTTGCCATACAAAAAATTCTTTAAGCCATTCGCACACTGAAGTTCTTTAGGGAACTGGAGTGTCACTTTAACCCCTTAAAGGACCACTATAGTTCCAGGAAAACATACTCGTTTTCCTGGCACTATAGTGCCCTGAGGGTGCCCCCACCCTCAGGGTCCCCCTCCCGCCCGGCTCTGGAAAGGGGAAAAGGGGTAAAAACTTACCTTTTTCCAGCTCTGGGCGGGGAGCTCTCCTCCTCCGATCCTCCTTCTCTCCTCCCCGTCGGCTGAATGCGCACACGCGGCAAGAGCTGCGCGCGCATTCAGCCGGTCACATAGGAAAGCATTTACAATGCTTTCCTATGGACGCTTGCGTGCTCTCACTGTGAAAATCACAGTGAGAAGCACGCAAGCGCCTCTAGTGGCTGTCAATGAGACAGCCACTAGAGGATTAGGGGAAGGCTTAACCCATTTATAAACATAGCAGTTTCTCTGAAACTGCTATGTTTATGAAAAAATGGGTTAACCCTAGCTGGACCTGGCACCCAGACCACTTCATTAAGCTGAAGTGGTCTGGGTGCCTAGAGTGGTCCTTTAAGGACACAACTTCTGGAATAAAAGGGAATCATGACGGAATATTTCCGTCATGTGTCCTTAAGGGGTTAAGTCCCTTCAATCACACCCTCTCCCAGCAATAATCTTTATATTATTTATTAATATGTTTTTGTGTGCAACATATACACATAGTTACATACACCACACACACATAATAATTAACATATCCACCCTCGTATTTCCATAACGTTTAAATGCAATAGGGTGACTTATGGCTACAGGAATTTATTCTGTTACCAGGCCTCTGATTGGAAATGTCCACAGGGTGGCCCTTAGTATGGGCTCATGGACACACTGTGGTAGTTCTACCAATGGCAAAAATAGCCCATCCTTCCATACTCCTTTGTTTCAGCTTACATTCACTTACGTATTGCATGATTACCCATCTGACGTCAATACTCACTAATGACATGCCATACAAGCTAGCAGTATTGTCATTTATTGTACAGTCTGGCCATCACACTCACGCTCGCCAGCTACCTCTTGTCTCAACTCCCCATTGCTACCTTTAAATTGTGCAGAGAGGTTACTGCTCTCTGTCCAGGACTTGCCCCTTAACCCGCAAATTGAGATTAGCAATATAACAATATTATACACTAACAGGGTTATTCACTAAATTGAAAATGATCGGGATTTACATTTTAATTTTAGGCCAAAATAACTGTTTTGGAAGCATAGCAAATTTGGAAAATGTTTCTTGTTTGGCTATTTTTGCCTTACGTTTGAAATTAACCTTGAAATCTTGACAATTTGGATTTCAGTGAATACCGTATATACTCGAGTATAAGCCGACCCGAATATAAGCCGAGGCCCCTATTTTTACCACAAAAAACTGGGAAAACTTATTGACTAGGGTGGGAAATGCAGCAGCCACTGGTAAATTTCTAAATTAAATTAGATCCCAATAAAATTACATTAATTGAATATTTATTTACAGTGTGTGTATTGAATGAATGCAGAGTGTGTGTTTGTGTGTGTGTATAATGAATACAGTGTGTGTGTGTTTGTGTGTTGTGTGTGTGTATATAATGCAGTGTGTGTGTTTGTGCAGTGTGTGTAAACTGGATGAGGGGAGGGCATTTTTATTGTAATTTTTTAATTTTATTATATTATTTTAATATTATTAGATTATTATATTATTATTATTTTAATATCATATTATTTTAATAATATTATTATTATTTTAATATTTGCATTATTGTCCCCCCTCCCTGCTTGTTGCCTGGTCAGGGAGGGGGGACAAAAAACTATTTAAAAAAAATAATGCAAATATTAAAATAATAATAAAATAATATTAAAATAATATAATATTAAAATAATAATATAATTTTATTATTATATTATTATTATTTTAATATTTGCATTATTTAAAAAAAAAAAATTTTGTTCCCCCTCCCTGGCCAGGCAACAAGCAGGGGGGGACAAAAAACCATTTAAAAAAAAAATAATGCAAATATTAAAATAATAATAATATAATAATATTATTTTAATAATATTATTTTATTATTATTAAAATAAAATAGTATTAAATCCCTGGTGGTCCAGTGGCATTGGCAGTTCAGTGGGGGGGCTAGCAGTGAGCTTTTACTTACCTTCCTGCAGCTCCTGTCAGCTCCCTCCTCCTCCGTGCAGCTCATCTGTCAGCTCCGTTCTGCTCACAGTGTAAGTCTCGTGAAAACTACTTTTCTACACTACGCAAGACGTGCACTTTGAGCAGAACGGAGCTGACAGAGGAGCTGCACGGAGGAGGAGGGAGCTGACAGGAGCTGCAGGAAGGTAAGTAACAGCTCACTGTCAGCCCCCAACAGGACCTCCGGGCTTGTAATGAGCCCGGCAGTCCTGGTCTGTATTATGGCAATATAAATTGCCATAATACAGACTGACTCGAGTATAAGCCGAGTTGGGGTTTTTCAGCACAAAAAATGTGCCGAAAAACTCGGCTTATACTCGAGTATATACCCTAACCATGGAAAACTGTAATGGCCATCAAAAGCACTCCCCCTCCATTGCAGAGTAGTATTAGAGATGTCCAACTTCGGGCACCAAGTGTGACTTTATAAAGTACAGTGTTAAGGTGTGTAACCCTGTGTCACAAAAATTATCCAAAACTAAACACTCTAGCAAACACAGTCTCATGTGGTTCTCAACATCTATTGCCATCTATGCTCATCAGAATATCCCTCTTAGAATCAAAAACACCAGTGAAAGGAACACGCCAACATTCAATTTCATATTTCATTTTAACATTTAGACGGTTCATTTAGCTTGACAACCGGGGAGTGTACCCTCATTGCCACTAATTAATCCATAAAGTTCAGATTTCTCTTCAAATTGGATTATTATTATTATTAATATAATTTATAAAGCGCCAACACATTCTGTAGTGCTGTTCAATGGGTGGACTAACACACATATTTGTAACCAGACAAGTTGGACACACAGGGACAGAGGGGTTTTGGGCCCTGCTCAATGAGTTTACATGCTAGAGGGAGTGGGGTAATGTGACACAAAAGGTAAGGGTAGTGTAGAAAAGTAGTTTTCTAGGATAGTGTTCATTGAGGGCTTAGTATTTTGTTTTGATGACAGTTGCAGGAGCGGAATCAAGGTGTGGGGAGGGAAAACTGTTCGCAGTTTAATTGATATGCTTTCCTAAAGAAGTACGTTTTCAATTTTTTTTGAAGGAGTGGAGATTTGGTGAAAGTCTAACCGAGAGGGGAAGGGCATTCCATAGGAATGGTGCAGCTCTAGAGAAATCTTAAAAGTGAGCAACAGAGGTAGGAGTACGAACAGAGTTTAGACGTAGGTCTTCGGCAGGGTGTAGGGACCTAGATGGGATATTTGTGTATTAGTGAGGATAAGTAGGTCGGAACAGCATTGTGTAGAGATTTGTAAGCAGTATCAGGATCTTAAATTGAGTCCTATATCTTACAGGAAGCCAATGTAGGGACTGACAAAGGGGGAGGCATGGGAGGTGTGGGTGGACAGGAAGATGAGCTTCGCCGCCGCATTCATTATAGACTGTAATGGGGCAAGTTGGGAACACGTAAGACCACTGAGAAGCAGATTACAGTAGTCAAGGCGAGAGAGGACAGCGGCATGGACAAGCACCTCTGCTGTAACAGGCGTTAAATAGGGTTGGATGCACGCAATATGTTTTGGATGGAAGCAGCAGGATTTGGTGATTGATTGGACATGAGGGGTGAAGGAAACATCAGAGTCAAAAAGAACATCTAGCCAACGAGCCTTAGAGGTAGAGCGGAGGGTAGTGCCATTGACTTGGAGGGACACAGACAATGGAGTAGCAACACTTGAGGGAGGGAACACCAGAAGTTCTATTTTGGACAGGTTCAGTTTAAGGAAATGAGCAGTCATCTAGTTGGAAATAGCAGAGAGGCAGTCACAGACATGAGTCAAGAGGGGTGATGAGAAATCAGGGGAGGACAGATAAATTTGCGTGTCATCCGAATAGAAATTATACTGGAAGCCGAAGGAGCTGATGAGTTTACCAAGGAAGGCAGTGTAGATTGAGAACAATAGGGGACCAAGGACAGACCCTTGAGGAACACCAACAGAGAGGGATGGGGAGAAGAGGCAGAGCCAGAGAAAGAAACACTGAATGAGTGCTGGGAGAGGTAGGAAGAGCACCAGGAGAGAGCGGTATGTCGTAGACCGAGATTATGGAGGATGAGAAGAAGCTGTTGATGATCAACAGTGCCAAAAGCAGCAGAAAGGTCAAGGATAATTAGGATGGAGTAATGGCCATGGTATTTTGCAGTGATAAGATCATTGGATACTTTGGTCACAGCTGTTTCAACAGAGTGACGAGTGCAGAATCCAGATTGAAGTGGGTCAGGCAGAGAGTTGGATTCGAGGAATCTGTCAATCTCGCATACACAACTCTCTCAAGGATCTTGGAGACAAACGGCAGTAGCGAGATAGGGTGGGAGTTGAACGTTGACTTAGGGTCAAGGTTGGGCTTTTTCAGAATCGGGGTTGCGGTTGCATGTTTGAAGGGTAGAGGAAATGTGAAATCATCTTAAACCCTCAAGAATACAACTTAAAGGGACACTTTAAACCCCTAAAGCACTTCAACTTGAATAGTGCCCTAATGAAGCCATGTAGAGCTACATGTATTTATAGATAAATAAAAAAAAAACATAAAACATTTGCTAAAATGTAGAAAATAACCTGTGCATTTTCCTTGCAAGCTTGTTTATGAAGTGCTGTAGCTACCGCTTGTTCATGTAAATCAAACCTGTATTTTTGGATTTACTTGTATGAGACATCCGCCTATTGTACAGCACTGCAAAAAATTTTGGTGCTTAATGAATAATAATAATATAGCTTCTTTCCTTATTAATAAATTAGTTTGATTCCCATCTTAAACTAAAGTGTAAAATTACTTACGGTTCTTCATGAATGTTTAAACCATGCCAACTATGGAAACATTATCAATTTGATATAGTTATAGATATTATTAATTTGTAATAAATGAATGTGTTTTTCTGTGCAGACACTTGGCTGTGGGTGCATTGCATCATCTGTTCTTGGTCATGGAGCAACAGGTGGATTTTTGACCAACAATCTTGGCTTTGCAATGGCAGTAACTATGGCTATCTATGTATCCGGAGGTGTTTCTGGTAAGTGATAAGTTAAAATATAAAACATTTTTATATTCTTATTGTTAATTTTTCAGAAAATTGTGAACAAAGTGCTTAAATAATTAAAGCAGAAAACAGTGCAACACAATAAGTATAATATTCCTAATACTATAGTGTTCATCTGCCTTCTAACACTTACATTATTCCAGCCCACAGGTACCTTGGTGCTGGCTCCATCTCTGCCTCCTCTGACGTTATTGGGGGAGGGAACCTTATGCGCATGCACAGTGAGCACCATGTGTGCCTTAAAGGACCACTATAGTGCCAGGAAAACATACTCGTTTTCCTGGCACTATAGTGCCCTGAGGGTGCCCCCACCCTCAGGGACCCCCTCCCGCCCGGCTCTGGAAGGGGGAAAGGGGTAATAACTTACCTTTTTCCAGCGCTGGGCGGAGAGCTCTCCTCCTCCTCTCCGCCTCCTCTCCGCCCCGCCGGCTGAATGCGCACGCGCGGCAAGAGCTGCGCGCGCATTCAGCCCGTCTTATAGGAAAGCATTTACAATGCTTTCCTATGGACGCTTGCGTGCTCTCACTGTGAGACAGCCACTAGAGGATTAGGGGGAAGGCTTAACCCATTCATAATTATACCAGTTTCTCTGAAACTGCTATAATTATGAAAAAATGGGTTAAGCCTAGAAGGACCTGGCACCCAGACCACTTCATTAAGCTGAAGTGGTCTGGGTGCCTAGAGTGGTCCTTTAAGTCTTCCCCATAAGAGAGAATTGAATCAATGCTTTCCTATGGGGATTTAGAAAAAGCTGGACGTCCTCATGCAAAGTGTGAGGACATCTATGAAATGAAACTTTGAAACAGCCACTAGAGGCAATATTAATCATGCAATGGATTAAGGGGACATAGGTACTGTATCTATAGCACTTTAATGTGATAAAATGGGTCTGGGTACCTATAGTGTCCCTTTAAGCAGTATTGAACTGTTTTGTAACAAAACTGAAATATTATTTAACACTTACATTTTAATGTGAGACAATGTCTTGTTAATTGTTATTTCAACATTATTTGTTAAACCATGACAGATGTTTGGGACAAGGTGCACTCTAGATATTCACTGGAATACACATTTTCCATTTTGATTTAGAAATGAGAAACTAGATGCTTTTTAAAATTTATCATATTACCTTTCTCCTTTGTGAAAAATGTTAATAGTAATAGTCCCCTTTCAGAATAGGCAGTGGTGTATCCTGGTTTTGTGCTGCCTTAGGCCGCAGAGTGAGGCTGGGAGCTGGAAGATGACGTCATATTCCGGCTCCCAGCCTCACTCTGCGACGCGCGAGGGAGCTGAGCAGACAGCTCAGAGGAAGAGCTCCCTCGCCAGCCGCCCGCCGGACCATCAGCCAGCGCCGCCCAGCGCCCAGCATGTCTGTTAGCCGCGAGGCTAACAAGGCATTTGCCCTGGGCATTTGGGGGCAGCGTTTTTTGCCGCCCCTTGAAAAATGCTGCCCAAGGCAAATGCCTTGTTTGCCTCTCGGCTAATACATCCCTGAGAATAGGCCACAAATTTAGAGACGTCAAAGCCCGTAAAGTATATCATTTGACATGTGCATCTAGCTGTACCTGAACTGTACCTGTAACTATGTAACTATGTAACCATAGACATATACTGTCCTGTAGGCTTTTCCTTGATCAATTGAATGGATCAAAAAATTTAACATTACAGTGATATGTGTGTACAGAATTAATTATTGTTGTATTTATTGTCATATCCATAAATTCCAGGAATATCGACAAGTATATCTGGTACCTCTCATCAAGACCTTTAAAGGAACATTTCTAGCACTATAACCAGCCCACTGGAGTTATTAAAGATCCAGGAGTGCCCTGGTGTTTAGTAGTCAAACCATAGGAGAATAATTTGACAACTTACCTGGTGTCCATATAGTGCTGCTTGTTTATTGCTCTTCAGACAGAAGTTCCAGGAAGCTGTAGTCCTGCAGCCGAGATCTCTTAGCCAATTAAGTCACCCATGCACTGCCAAGTTTAGTTCAGTGCATGGGTGAGCTCAGGGCTAGCTGCACGTTGGACTCCAGGTAAGCTGTCAAACCATTCTCAAACAGTTTGACTACTTACTCTGGGAGAGCACCATCATCACTACAATGGATGTGCTTGTAGTGTTCTTTTAATAATATCACATAAGACCTCACAAAAAATCCTTAGTAGTTTGAAAGCCCAATTACTAACCAATTACTAACCAATACAATTATATAATCCAATATAAAAAAAAATCACAATTTCAGCTTAAATAGACTTCTGTTTTGACACACACTGACATCACATAGCTATATTTACCACAGTGGCATGTTGTACTCTTTAATTCATACACCATTAATATTATGCCACCACTGTCACACGCACACTGACACTACACACAAATACTTTACATACGTACAGAGACCCAAAGTATATCCCTGCATTCATATGTGCTGTTCCTCTAATCAAACTCCACTACATTCACAAAACAGCCATCAACACGAAAACAAATATACATTTACGCTACTACATACTCATGCAAGAAGTGACTATTGGTGGTGTCCCTAGTCTGTAATGTAAACACTGCCTTTTCTCTGAAAAAGCAGTGTTCACATGAAAATGCCTGCAGGGACTGTTTATACTCACCAGAACAAATACAATAAGCTGTAGTTGTTCTGGTGACTATAGTGTCCCTTTACGTAGGGTTGGCAAGACATAACTAGAAAATAAATATAATTTCCGATTTCTTTGCAACGGCGCAATAACTTAGCCAACTTTATAATTTAGCCAACTTTATAGTTTTTACTTTCAAAGGATAATGAGAAATCATTTGCGTTGTTTGTGTATCATCTCAGATGTAGCATTTCTTGAAAACCAAAATAGATGGTAATCTTTTGTCGTTGGGTGAGAGATTACTAGAGGCTTGCTCACAGTTTTAGCTGACTTAGTATGATATTTAACTGGTGCCTGACTCTTAACAAAAGTATAAAAACCTCTTGTTTTTATTGACTGTGTCTGGAATAGCACAGTCAATGTGTAGGTCTTTAGCAAATGTTCACATCGTATATATTTATTGGGCAGAGCACAGGCCATGAGGTCGAGCAATTAAATTATCTCATGGACCATATGTCAATGTTTCCATTGGCTGTCTCCAGTTTGTATTTTGTAAATTTATTTTTGTCTTTGAGCCAAGAGTAGTTTGGTTGTTGTAGATACAGATTCAGTTTTCAATTAGATATCATAAAATGAGACAATGAGACTCAAGTCTTTTGCGAAGTCAGAAAATGTATACGGTTACGGCACATAAGGCTACATAACATATTACAAGTAGAATCGAATTATATTTGAGATAATAAAATCGGAAACACAGATACTGCTTAGTAAGAGTAAAACAAGCATTTTGGCTGAAGTGTTTCTCAGGCTGACAGGAAAAAAAGGTTACTTTATGAGTTGTGTCAACCATATTGTAACCTCTGAAGATGGCCTTCAATAACAAAGGCCAGATCAATACCAGGAAAAAGCCTAAATGTAGTTATGAATGGAGGAGGTCATGTTTTAAAGCCCCGGTATCACTTAGTAGACTATATTGGATTTGTAATAAAGGGAAAGAGCTCAGGTATACAACAAAGTACTAATTTATTGTTAAAGTGTGGAGATTACTAGCAGTGTCTGCATTACAAAAAATATATATCACCAAATGTTATATAGTGTTTCAATAAAACAACATTATCTTATAAGATGAATAAAGGTAAACAGCTGTTTATTGGTTGCATTAAAAATCTCAACTAGTACTCAATGTTTGTTATCTGTCTGCATTGCATTATAGATTAATTTATCTGGTATTGTTAATGCAGACCCAATATATTGTTTGAATTCTACCAGTGGTTATTTCTGCATGAGTGTAATTATAAACCTTAAAATCTGATCAGCCAATAGGAGGACCTCCACGAATAAGCCAGCTGCCCCACACTATGAGATCAGAAAGGTCTTATTGCAGATAAATGGTTTCTACACTCACTTGATTTCCATTCTCATCACTTTATGTAGTCCAGTGCTGGTATTCTCCCTCTTCCACCCTCACTTTTGTGTTTGTGTCTTTCATGCCACTACCCACCAGTAATCATACCATGGCTCTTGTGCAATAGCAAACAGAATTGAGCTGCGACCACACAAGAAGTGACTAGTTTTTCCTGTCTACTGATTGTGATGTATGTTCACTTACAATAACTCATCCTGCATTTCAGCAGGCAGAACATTGCCGAACACCAGAACCAGTGAAAAGGCTTCTCAACATCTAAGCTTCACACGGAAGAAATCATATCATTAGGGATCGCAGCACAAATCAGTCCAGCTCTGTTAAATGATATAGACTAAACATTGTGAAGTAGGCTGTCTGTGCCCCCATGCTATATGATCCTGCAACTATAAATTACATTATTCCACATATTCTCTGATTTTCCCAAATTAGTCCACAAGTGAAACCCATGGTCAAGGTCCCCCATGCCCAGTTGTGGTCTCAGCATATGCCTAAGTTGCTTTATGGGTAATTGTACACTGTCAGTGGCTTGAAGGTAATTGGGGGTGCAGTAAAAAGAACAGTTTAAGTGCCTGGAGAGACCAATTTTTAAAAATTTGAATTGAACTTCCACAGTACTAACCCGAGAGTGTCCTGTTAATCTAAGCTGTCTTGCACTGTTTGTACACTGCACTAAGCCAGCCATACAAGCTTTAACAGGTCGTGTGAACATGATTGTGAAATACAAACATGTCAAAATATATGAATCATTTTGCTGCAATGAGATATGTTATAATTAATATCAGTGGCTTGCTAAAGGGGAGCAAACCAGCTTGAGTGACACCTGAGAGGGATTGCACAGAGTTTCCCTTCCCAAACTGTCACTCATATACTCTTTATAGCCATAAAGGCCTTCCACAGCCATATATTTTACTAAGAGACACATGTTTCTAGCCCTCTCCCTACAGCCATGATCCTTAACTCATCCCACAGCAATATTACTTCCCTCATTCCCAAAGCTGTATTTCCTGAACTCCATAATTATTAAAGTTATTCCCTCTGCTACATTTAGAATTTAGGGAACAGTTACCGAAATAGAATGAGGTCGCACTGTTGATTACAGGATTTTTAAACACAATCGGTTTAGAATTCCCATTGAAATTATATATACTGATCAGCCACAACATTAAAACCACCTTCCTAATATTGTGTATGTCCCCCTCATGCTACCAAACAACTCTGATGTTTCGAGGCATGGATTCCACAAGACCTCTGAATGTATCCTGTGGTATTGGCTCCCAAACATTAGCAGCAGATCCTTTAAGTGCTGCAAGGTGGGCCTCATGGATCTGATTTGTTGTTCCAGCACATCCCACATATGCACAATCGGATTGAGGTCTGTGGAATTTAGAGGCCAAGGCAATGCTTTGAACTCTTTGTCATGTTCCTTAAACCCTTCTTGAAAACATTTTGAAGTGTGACAGGGTGCATTATCCAGCTGAAAGAGAACAGTGGCATCAGGGAACACTATTGCCATGAAGTGTATGTGGTCGGCAACAATCTCTAGGTAGGTAGTACATGTCAAAGTAACACCCACGTGAATGTCAGACCAGAAGACCAGAAGACCTTCTACCATTGCCCTATGGTCCAGTTCTGACACTCATGTCCCCATTGAAGGCGTTTTCAGCAGTGGACAGGAGTCATCATGGGCACTCTAACTGGGCAGTGAATATGCAACCCCATACACTGCACACTATTGGCAGCATTAAATTTTTCAGCAATTTAAGCTACAGTAACTCTTCTGTGTAATGGGACCAGACAAGATGGCCTTTGCTGCCTACATGCATAATTGAGTCTTGGGTGTCGATGAGCCTGGTGCATGTTCACCGGTTGTCCTTCTTTGCACCACTATTTCTGGGTGCTTACCACTGCATACTGGGAACACCACACAAGACTTGTGATTTTGGAGATGCTCCGATCAAGTTTTCTAGCCATCACGATTTGGTCTTTGTTAAAGTCACTCAGATCTTTTTACTTGCCCATTTTTCCTGCTTCTATCACATGAAATGCAAGAACTGACTGTTCACTTGCTGCCTAATTATTATTTATTCCATTGTAATAAAATTATGAATGTTATTTACTTCACCTGTCAGTGGTTTTACTATTTAATGACCACATGAAGATCTATGCGGAGAAATCAATTGGCACGGTAGGTTGGATGTTTATGCATCTGACTATCTATAGGATGGGAAATTGGATGATTTCTGCAAATGAGTCTGAGCAGTATACACAGTCACAATGGCAAGGATGAAAATTAATGGTGACCTATTTGATCTAATGACAATCTCAAATTATATTTGCCAGGGGTGCCCCCTTCTCCTCTGTTGTTTGTCCTGACTCAGTCCTGGAAGTCTTTTGGACAAATTTAAATATCTGGTGATTCCAATACACAGGAACTCAATACAAAATCTGGGCATATGCAGGCAACCTGCTTTTTTATGTAGAAAAGCCAGTAGTTTCCTTACCCAACATTCTATGAAAGTTTTGCATTCATGGTGAACTGAATAACTTTAAACTTAACCTAGACAAACCCGAAGCACTAGATCTTGCCATCCTATTCTCACAGGCTGATCAACTATAGACACGATTCCCATTCTGGTGGTGCCTGGAACAATTCTGATATTTAGGAGCACTATTTTACAAAGATTTTAAAAATGTATACTTGAACTTTTTAGGTAGAAATGAAGACATGCCACATATATCGTGGTTTGGACCTATACCATCTATCAAGATGAATTTGCTGCCCAGGCTACTTTACTTATTCCAGACCATACCATTATACATAGCCAAAAAGTTATTTTCTAACCTTAATTTGGCTATGTATAATGTGAAATGTGTCGAGAGAAGGCAGCCTACGCCACTCGAGGATTCCATTATCACCAGCTAAGACACTTCTACACATCAATCATGGCACTAAACAGGCAACTTCCGCCATTCAATGAGCTATGCTATTTGCCAGAACCTTTATAATGTGGTGTCTCTACTCTATTTCAGTTGGTTCTCACTGGAGCCCAACCTGCCCCGACCAAGTTTAAGTCATACTGAGAAGGTGCTCTGCAAATGTCTTTCACTGACCAGGAATGGGCCAAAATGTTCATACTGACACACCACAGTTCTCTATGCTCCAAATATCAAGACATCAACTATAAAATAGTAACGAATTGGTATGACACTCCATAAAAAATACACAAATTTCAACTAGCATGTGCTCCTAAGCTACAGCATATAACACATCTCTAAATATAAGAAAACACTATCCAAACTATCCGTTTAAACCAACGGTATAAAATATGTGTTGGTGCAGTATATGAGAAAGATGGAAATTGTCGTTATAACACAAACAGATTGAAAATGCAAAAATTGCTTTGGTCCTTCAGCAAAAAAACAAACAAATTAAGCTTGGTCCTTAAGGGGTTAATGTTGTGGCTGATCAGTGTACACTATTGAGGCAAAAATAACTTGACTGTGACCACTGTTGAACATCCATTGAAAAGGTTTATATAGCTTCAGTATATTTGTATTAGTTGTTTTTAAATGAATTAATTTTGCCTCTAGTTTAACTCTTTTATTTTTTTTTTTCATATTTCTGATTTTAATTTAGTATAGTCTCGCATTGATGAATACATTTAAATATCAAGTGACTTTTGCCTCACTCTGTATAATATATTTATAGTTTGTTTTTTTCAAGTTTAATGTTTGTGTCACAAATGACTTATTTATTTTTTGGTGAGCGAGTTCATTTCTTGACACCACTAGTCTTATGATAATAATCACATCAACGAGCCAATACCAAAGCCAATTCTGCTGCTGTCAAAACAAAACAAAACAAAAAACAGTGATTGCTTGCCCAAAGCAATGTAATGATAAATAGAACAGCAAATTACTGAGGTTCAAAACTAAATCAGCTCAGTTAATGTAAGCAGTGTGTATATAAGGCTAACAATTAGTGATGTCCCGAACTGTTCGCGGAACGGTTCGCCACGGTTCGCCGCGGACTCCAGTCAGCAGACACATTCCAGCCAATCAGCAGCAAGAACCTCCCTCCCAGACCCTCCCACCTCCTGGATAGCATCCATTTTGAAGCTGCATTCTTAGTGAGCTGTCCAGGAGGTGGGAGGGTCTGCTGCTGATTGGCTGGAATGTGTCTGCTGACTGGAGTCCGCGGCGAACCGTTCGTGGTGAACCGCGGTGAACCGTTCGGCGAACAGTACGGGACATCACTACTAACAATAGTATTTGTCACTGTAAGATACCCAAAATGTTTTGTTTGCAAGCTTGTCATTAAAATCTAGTAGTTAACAGGATTATCCAAACACCCAAAGCATTTCAGCTGGTTTAGTTTGCTGAAGTGCTTTATGTGTGTGTTGTCTTTTTTTCATTTTACAAAAAGTACAGTCTTTAATAGATATTGGAACATTTATAAATAAACCTTGTTACACCCCCTGGCTGTCAGACAATAGATCGTGTTACTTCCTGGTTTTATGTGCTCACTGGAGCTAAACTCAAGAGGTTGCAATTGCCCAGAACAGCTACCTTGCAAAGACTTCTCATTGAGCTGCATTGGGAAGTCTGTGATTAGACAGACACAGAAAGTATGGGCTAGAAGGAGAAAACTTGCAAAGTCTGCAAAAGCTGCAGATAAGATATCTGCAGCTTTTGTAAGCAGTTGATAGATATACCCACAGTGCAAAAGGGCACAATTAAATGCATGTATGTTTTCATTGACAGTACATTATCTATATGTAAGAAAAATAAAAAATAGAATAGATTTTTTTTTTTTTTAAATTGCAAAAAACATTGCTATTAATACTCATTGTTTCTGATGACATTCACTAATGTTAGTGGAATCGAGTGATTACTCTAAACTACTGCCCCAAAACATATGCATAAAGATATGGGAGTCCCTTGGACACTTTATAAACTAGCGGGAAACCACTGCATAATGTAATAAGTTGTTTCCAAATGGTTAAAAAAAATTAGATTAAATGTCCATTGGAGTGTTCCTTTAGGCAACTGCCAACAGTCAGGAAATTATCACAACTAAAAAATACTGACAAGTTTCCCTGGTAAACCTCAGTGTTTAAAGGCACACCACATTGTCTAAATACATTTTTAAAAAACACTTTATAATAGAAATACCCCCACAGGTACAGACTTATTATGTCCTTTTTCTTAAATTTAGACATAAAAACATATTTTTCAATCAATTTCCATAGAAACAGGATCAGGGCACCATAAAAGATTCAGCATATGCACACTTCACCCATGATCATCAGAGTACGTTGCCCTAAGGCAGTAAATTGAAACCAAATAGCTAAATATAAGTAAAATATGTGAGCAATTTTAGCCTTCATTTCTGCAATTTTGTTTTAACCCCTTAAGGACCCCTGTTTTTGTGATGTTGTACATTTGCGACCAGGCATCTTTTTACACTTTTGTGGTGTTTGTGTTTAGCTGTAATTTTCTGCTCTCTCATTTACTGTTCCCATACAAATTATATATTATTTTTTTCAGGACAAATGGTCTTTCTTTACATACCATTATTTATATAATCTCATGTAATTTAATTTAAAAAAATTTTTTAAAAATATGATGAAAAATTGAAAAAAAATCTTTTTTTTTACTTTTACTTGAAAAATCTTTTACTCATTTACAAAAGCAAATTAAAAAAACTGCTAAATAGATTCAAAATTTTGTCCTGAGTTTAAAAATACCCAGTGTTTACATGCTTTTTTGCATGTTATAGGGCTATAAGTACAAGTAGGATATTGCGGTTTGAAAACATACATTTTAAAAATTTATCAATAGTGACATTGTAACACTATTATCTGTCATAAATCTCTGAATAACACCCCACATGTACATATTTTTTTTTAAAGTAGACAACCCAGGGTATTCAATATGGGGTATGTCCAGACATTTTTAGTAGCCACTTAGTCGCAAACACTGGCCAAATTTAGCGTTCATATTTGTTTGTGTGTGAAAAAAGTAAAAAACTAAATTGAACGCTAATTTTGGCCAGTGTTTGTAACTAAGTGGTTACTAAAAAAGACTGGACGGGGCGTGGCTTGACGGCTCACCAAGACGGTCACATGAGTGGTTAGCTCCGTGCGACACCAACCCTGCACAGCGAATAGAGAAGCAGTGGGTAACCTAAACCCCACACAGACACACATCGATGCCCGTGACCACCATGGCATCTAAATCAGCCAAGAAGCTGAAGCATAAACAGCCCGCGTTGCTGGTTTCGGCGCTGACACCGCCACGAGCACAGGCCCAAGATGGCGCCGTCGCGCCGCACTCGCCATCCGCGTACTCAGACCGCAGCGACCTTACCTGTATATCAGAACCAGCGGAGATACCTGCAACCGACCTCTCCATCCACAAAATGTTGCAAGTTCTGCAGACATCTCTTCAGGCCGACATGATGAAAATGTCGCGCGACATTAAAACGGAAATCCAAGCGCTTGGAGACAGGACAGCGCACCTCGAGGACAAGACAGATGAGGTTATCTCTGCCCACAACACCCTGGAAGATGCCTACATTGAGTTGAGAGACAAACTGGACTACCTCGCGGGTAGGGTAGCGGATCATGAGGACAGGGATAGGCGCAGCAATATACGCCTCCGCGGCATCCCTGAGGAGGTTCTCCCTCAAGACCTCCAAACCTATGCTGTACGCCTCTTCCAGGCCTTGGTTCCTGACCTGACACAACAGGAATGCCTCATCGACCGCATACATCGCCTACCGAAGCCTAAATCTCTCCCAGCCTCAATCCCGAGGGACACCATAGCGAAGCTCCATTACTACACCAGCAAAGACAAACTAATGAGGGCTGCAAGGACCTCAAAGGCTCTACCGGAAGAATTTGCAAGCGTCCACCTTTTCACTGATCTTTCTGCTGCAACCCTGCTGAAGCGAAAAGAGCTGGCCTGCATCACCAAATCTTTGAGGGACGCCAATGTCCCCTACAGATGGGGATTCCCAACCCGCTTAACCATCCGCCGCAATGGCGTTGACCGCCATATCACCTCAACAGACGAAGGACTTACGCTCCTGAAAGAATGGGGCATCACCCCATCGCAACCTCCCCAGCACAATGCCCAGACGAAGCCGCAAAGATCACGGTCCCCGAGAAAGATCCAGACAGATTGGAACGTGATGTCTACAGATAAGTGAAACAAACTGACACTCTGTTTTCTAACATAATGGGGCACACTAGCCTAACACACTCACCCGTCAGGGTCATGGACTATACTTTTTTTTTTATATATTATTGTTGCTTTTTTTGTTGTTCCTCTCTTGGGCTCAACGCCACGCTTTGTAATGTTTTTCCGCCTTGCCTATGCCGCACCTACACTTATTTGGTGATCGGCCGCTGAGGCTGAGCCTTGCTGCCATGCCCGGGCCTTAGACTTGGGCCCGGCCATGGCAGTGACGCACCGGTTATAGCACAAACAGTTCTCTATACAATCTCCCATTGAAGTTTAATGTCTGCTGTATTGTTTGCATACATAATGCTCCGCCCCCACTCCCGCAGGATGCACTTGCCTGACACTGACACCGATACAATGGCGGACGCACTGCCATTACACATCAACATGAGCCTGGGATTGCCTAGCTAGCCTCCTCTGTGACACGCGCGCGGTGGGTGGTGGCTGGGCAATCTCAGTAGGTGGCACCTCAGACAAGCAATTGGGCATCATGCTCTCACGTTGTAGGATACTGTCCACATGCTACCACACCCACCATCCTCATTGGGCACTGTGTTGGCTAAGGGCACGGAAACGATGAGATCGCCCTCTACTGTCCCACCCGGACTCAATACTACCCTCTCAATTAAGATGGGATCCCCCAAGGGTATAACATGGTGAACGGAATTGAGG